TACTAGTTAGCCATAAAACAAAGTAAAACGCTAGGGGTGTGACTCAGTATAAACCTAGTGACTTTCACTTACTGAATATTCATATTAAAACCTAACTGTATTCTTCGATAAAACAAACAATGCGTTAGGACTGTGACTCAATATAAACTCAGGTATGTTTAGAACGTTGCAGTAGACGAACTCTGCTTTGATGTTCTGCTCCAAAATTGTTATTCCAAGTTAGGTAAGGTATAACGGTGGGTTAATAAATTCTTGACCCAAGCAACCCCGTTTCCTTGAAGGCATGTTATGGATCATCCTGAAATGGTAAGGTACAACATATAAGCTGGCATATTGCCATTTGTCACATTTTGACAGTGTTGTGTACTCAGCTATTGATGGTTGGCGTAATACTGTTAGGATTAATATGAATTTTCGAACAAAGCAAACTTTCCGAATTTATGTCTCTAACTGTTGTTTTTGTGGGGGGCGATTTGGATTATTTGTAGTTTAAAATATTTCTTCTACTATTGTCTACACCGTTGTCATTGGCATCTCGAGTGTTTGAAGTATATTAACAATATTTCCGAAGGACACGACCTTGAGTGACCTTGTCACCACACTTTGTTCCTTACCAATTACAGTTATTTTTCTGTACATACCCATTTCTGACCCCCCCCCCTGGTGGGGCAACAGTAAGTTTAAAGACTTACAATATTAATATTCAGGGCTCTAAAACAAATACAAATCTCAATTTCTGTATTATTTACCCGTGAATGGACTTCTAAAGAAGTCCTGATAATGTATATATAAATATCACTGTGTATATCGGTAATTGCTTGATGTTAGGCCTATGGCTGAAATTATTCTAATATGTACAAAATAAATTTTAATGAAAACAATCGACATGCTTAACATCTTTTGAGATCAATTTACTTGCCATAAGACAGTAGTGTTAGGCCTATTTACTTGCCATAAGACAGTAGTGTTAGGCCTATTTACTTGCCATAATACTGTGTTCTATATCCAGTCCCGTACGGATTTTCAAGAGTGTATAATGATATTCCAATCACATTATGTTCACCTTATTCAATGCTGATGAGTTCTGGAATGAGTGAAACGCGTCGTCGGCAATACTTATGACGAATATATATTTTACACTCTCCTAATCCTTGAAAATGCCTAAGGAACTAGATAAAAAATGTAATGTTTAGAAATGTGATAGGCCTGATAATAACTAGTAACTTACTTGTATAATCATTATTCACCACCTTGAAAAAGGCGTTCACACCATAACAATTATTGTTTGTAACTTTTAGATCCTTTACTTAATCATTCAAAAGTGGCAAAACATGTTTAGACCGTCAATATTAGTGTCAAATGTTTACCTATTATACATAACACAACACAGTGACATAAACTATATATATATATTAACACAACCATGTTAAAGTTAAAATTTTCAAGTTTGTTTATAACATCTACTGTGAACAGAACCGAAGTGTGAAACTTCTGCACCTAACCCTACTATATATGATTGCACGTGAAATTCAACACAGTATACTCAAAGAGAGAGGTGACAACGTTGGCCTTTAAAGTTAGTTTAGGTTTCGCTACGTGCTGTGAATAAGGTTTTCAGAGTAACACAATAATAATAATAATTATAAACATTCTGACATTAAACCTCAAACAGTGAAGTCGATACTATTCAAAATATTTAGCTCGTTTTCGTAGAGGTTATTACACATAATTGTTTTGTAAGCGGCATTTTGTTTTACCTTTTGGTAAATTTGTGTTTATTCTTTGGTGTTGATAATTTAATATAATTGCAAGTTTTTTTTTCTGTTTCTTTTCTGTTCACTTAAGGTAAAATTGAAAATGTATCTTGTGGTGACGTAGAGACGTAACGCATGTTTTGATTCGCTGCACTCTCTAGTGTGGACTGCAGTTTCGCTTATTCAAGGCTTATCATTACAACTCGGGTCGGCAAACCAAAATAGATACAGTTAGGCCTCTAATAAGGTGATGAGTATATACTATGGGGTATCTGTATAGTAACCTCTATTGATTTAGGTGTGTAAGTATTCATACACCTAAATCAATTGGCCAGTTGGATAGGGAGCTCGACTCGCAATCTGCGGGTTCGAATCCCTGTCCCACCAAACATGCTCGTCCTTTCAGCCGTGGGGGCTTTATAATGTGACGGTCAATCCCACTATTCGTTGGTAAATGATTAACCCAAGAGTTGGCGGTGGGTGGTGATGGCTAGCTGCCTTCCCTCTAGTCTTACATTGCTAAATTAGGGACGGCTAGCGCAGATAGCCCTCGTGTAGCTTTGCGCGAAATTCAAAAACAAACAAAGCCTAAATCAAGTTAAATTACTATATATGATGAGTGAAAAAGGACTCGAAGATCCCTCGAAATATTTGGTAGGAAAAATTGGAGGCATTACGTAGTGTAAACTTGAAACGTTGGAACACGTTCACTGTTTCTTAGAAAAGAAATTTTATCGCTCAGTTTCCCTCAACAATTCGTAATTCTCTGAACTGTCTACTGGGGAACTAGTATGGATATTCTATTTCACTGATTCAGCTTTCTACACACGATTTAAACATCAAACAGAAGTGTGTGATACAATATCATAACAAGTGTTAAAATAACATAGGGGTACTGAAGTGTGGTTAAGACAACAAACCCTTCGGCGAAAGTTTCAGGAGTAGGTTTCACGTAACTTTAAGTTGAAGTTCATAACAAAAGTCGATTGTAAGATTTTTAGAGTAAAACAGCACTCGTTCATTAAGTACGAAACACTTAAAAAACTTGTTTTTAATTTTAGTGTGATAAACTAACATACATTTTTTTTTGGCCAAGTTTCCGTGTTTTCATTTCTCATAGATTTTTGTCTTTGCTTAACATTCGTGCTGCAATGCGTTTGTCATTATATTTTTAATCACAGTTCGTTTCTTGAAAAATATGGTTAAACATATTACTTAGGGATTCAGAAAATTAATAAAATTCATACAAATCCGATGTTGTCAGGATAATAAAATGTGTTAAGATACTAATTGCTATGTAGCGCCATCTATCGAATTATGTCGCAGTTATATAATGAATAACGCTTATTGTTCTGTTAAAAAGAAACATATAGTTAAAACCACATAGGCGTCAAAAATATCAAAATTAAATAATAGGTTCAAAAATTGCCAATTTTTTTTTATTATCTTTATTTAAAGAAGGATGACGTTTCGAGCTAGCGCTCTTCGTCAGATCGTACATCTTAGAACTTGGTTGTAAGCTGTAGGATCTGAAGAAGAGCGCTAGCTCGAAACGTCATCCTTCTGATTGTTCTGTTGTTAGGTTCTCTGTATAATTCAGTTAACCATAAAATTACCAATAGGGGGCCGTCGGGTTCTTGAAAATATTGTGTAAAACTGTTTATGCACTGTATTGTTATGGATCCACAATTTTGGTGGTTACAAGAACCCCAGGAAACATACGAGTCATATAGAAGAAAACTTTAAATAAAAATACCATCAGAATAGCTGGGGGTCTCCTACACATAAAACGTTTGATTTCACCTAATTGTTTTGGTCTGTTCTTTACAGTGAGTGCTATAATAGGTACATCATAAGTTACTCCATATGATGAAATATGTGAAATATCTGACCAATAAGAGAATAGCATAAAAACAGGTCAGTGATTTGAGGTACGGGTTAAAAACTTAATACTAATTAGTTTAACTTAATTAAGTTTATTTCATAAAGTTTTATAGAAATGACATCAAATGTAAAACAAAAAGTCCTATTGACTTGTTTTCTAAAATAAAATAAAAAACGCTATTTTGTTTCTAAACATAAAAACTTTATGATAAATATTTATTTTTCAGTGGTTTACAATTCCTGGGTTAGAAGAAAAAAAGAAGATAAGAAGACGTATGTATGAACTGAAAAATCAGAGAATCTTGCAAGGTTGGTTAGTCCGGAATATTTCAACTAATCTGTTTATCCTTACTTTGGTGTTCAGTTATCTGACCACATGATTTATACTCTGACGACAAATTAAGCTTGAAAAAGAAAACAACCACATTAGCCAGTATACTTTACTTTGTCTTATTTTTATAGTTTCCAGTCAAAAAAAAAAGTGTCAATGTATTTGTGTGCATGATAAGTTAACTGAAGCTTTTCCGTCACTGGGGACGGGTACTTTTGCTTGTGTGTGTGTCTATATATATAAAAACACACAAACAAGCAAAGTACCCGTCCTTTGCTTGTGTGTGTGTGTTTTTGTATATATATAGACACACACAAGCAAAAGTACCCGTCCCCAGTGACGGAAAAGCTTAAGTTGATTTATCAATTTAAATTATTTCATGAATTTTTAAAAAAAGTTAATTGTGTTGCATTCTTGGTTTCACTTGGAGCCAAAGCTCTGAGCTACTTATGCCCCCCCCCCCCACCACTAAAAGTAATTGTTGAGTATATCAGTCATGCTAAGAGCCGTTCAACAATAACATACGGTAAATCTAAATTTTTATTGTTTAATTACGTCACATTTTGAAATGTGAATGATAATACGATTAATTCCTAACAGTTTAGTGTATAATATCCTGCTTGCGAAATAAAATTTGGCACCAACATTATTCATGCCTGTTCTCCCGTCATTTCAAAAGTGAATGTTGAGCTTTGCCTGCGGGAGACGGACCAACGCTCAGACAAACACCACACTTCGTAGTTGACAGGACGACGATGGACAGTCATCTCACGTGGTCTAGTGATTTTTTATATTAATGGTACAGTTTCCGTTTTTTTTTTATACTGTCTTAATACGGTGTTCTACGTATCATTCATTAACGTTTAGATAGAATCATTTTGTTGCACGTGCATGTCATTATTCAGATTGCTTCGGTATTCTGTAACATCAGCTACGATGTAAAAAAAGTGGTTCACGTGGTATAAAAGAGAGCGCGGGACCAAATGTCGTATCATTATGACGGGTTAATCAAGTTAAAATCTCTGTTCATAAATATTAACCGTTCATCCGGCGTAATTTAGTTTGTCCAAAATAATGCACACACTGATCAAACTGTAAGATCGTCAAACTTAACGTTTACAGGCCTCGTTCCTTACAGATGTTATCTCCTAGTTTTTAACGTTTTTACTCTGTGCGTGTCCGCTTTGTTGTACCAGAGTGGTCATTCATTGATCACGTGGGATATGATTTTAGGTTATTGGTTATGAATTTATATTATTTATTGTTTTGATTTGAATTTGTTTAAAATCCACAAAAACTTGAGAGGAATTATCTCTTACAGAAAATGTTATACCAGTAAGTAAGTCGGGCGTGGCCTTGTGGGTTAACGTTCCGTGCTGCGGATTGGAAGGCCTAAGGTTCGAGTCGCGATATGCCACTGAACACAGTTTCATCTCTCTGAGGTCTGTAACTGCGATAGGTAATCCCATTGTTCAAGTTAACGTAACCGTGGTCGGTGGGGGTTGCTCTCTTCCGTAAGCAGTTCTAACCTGGGAGTGGCTATCTATGCTTGACCTATAGAGTCTCCTGTGTGACTTTTTAGACCATATGCTGCACAAGGTGGCGTCCAGGAGTAAAATACAATATAGCAAAAAAGTATATTTTGCTCCAGTTTCAATAACCATTATGCCTTTCTTCATAATCTCCAGCTTCATTCGATATTATTGGGAAGTTTATGATCAAACAGTAAAAAATCAGTAAAAATAATATTATTAGTTTTTGATCTATATATATATATATATATATATATTAGGGTTATTCACCGAGAATTTGTTTCTGTCTTCAAAATTGAATACCTCTAAAATCAGTGTAAAAAAAACCAAAAAAAACCAGTAAGGTTGGAGGAATGTAGAAGTTATAGTTGACAGCTGTCTCTCTGCACGAGCTGCACTAATGACTAAGGTTAGGAACCGCTAGTATCTTTGAATATATATTTTTTTTATATTGTCTTAACGGCATTATATGACTTCTATGTTAAGATTTTGTTTCTATATTACACATTTACACCTCTGATTATAACATTTGTAATAGCACGAAAAATTCGTTTTTTATAAAATGTGACTATGATTTAAGCAGAAAATTCCGGTTAGTACCATGCAGATGGTTTTTTTGTTGTTGTTGTTGTTTGTTTTGAATAATTTGGTTATTTACTGGTTAAAACTTGTAAGCTTTTTTTAATTATCAGAATAAAACCAATTTAAAAAAACAACAACAACTCGTCGAAACGAATCTTTAAATTAAACTTACATCAGCTATAACATGTTTAATCAAATTATTTTAAAGTTAAATCCGTGTGATTTTGTGTAGTATGTGTGATCAAGCATACTAAAATTGAATTGATACGAGCCTATCAAGACTGGTTATGTAAAGTATTGTTGTGTTATATACTTCAGTAAACCGTATACTCTAGTATTTATTTATTATGTAACTTCAAAGCCTAAGTAAGAAAGAAGGACAAAATATTGCTTTTGGCTGTATATTGATTTATAAATACTTCTGTGATTACAAAAAATCAAGCTTTTTTTTTCTTATTATTTTTTACCATATGTGTATCTGTGTATGTAGGAGCAGAGGCGTCGCTAAGCGCTGGTGTCTTAAAAAATCGGAACAGAAAAACCATGATCGATATTGTATTGAAAACGCCGAAAATTCCCGCGCCTATGGGCTCGAGCCCCGAATTTTTTTAAGCACCTAGCGACGCCCCTGGTAGATATCTCACCACTGTTCTCTGGAAACTCGTGTAATCTTTTTGAGAGAACAACAATATTGTAACTGTTGACAGCTCTGTATACTCTTCTAAACTTCTAGAAACCCTCTCAGTCCTCGCTGCTACCGTGAAAAACAAACATTATCACAGATTCTATGTACAGACGTTGGTACTACTCTGTATACTCTTCTAAACTTTTAGAAACTCTCTCAGTCCTCGCTGCTACCGTCAAAAACAAACATTATCACAGATTCTATGTACAGATGTTGGTACTACTCTGTATACTCTCCTAAACTTCTAGAAACTCTCTCAGTCCTCGCTGCTACCGTGAAAAACAAACATTATCACAGATTCTATGTACAGTATCCCCGACCCTCACGTATCGTGTAAACTTAAAAAAAAAAAAACAAACACAAAAGAAAAGGTACATAGCATCAATTAGGGTCATGTAATTCGGCTGAAAATATAATGTCAGAATAAGAAGTTACAGGGTGTGTGTCGTTTATGTCTCGTCATTCCGGACTCCGCTTTGAAAGCGATGAATTATCCTACTGAAATAACGGATCATGGTCAGTATTTGGTAAACTGAGAAAGATTTTGGAAGTTACTGGAAGACAAGTTCGCTGTTTTATATTTCATTTTTATGGGGATAGATGGCGCCAAAAGTTGTGTATTTTTCAGTTTTGCCTAAATTTCGCACCAGGATTTACTTATTTTTTCTGATATTAGTTTTTTGTTCTTGGTTTTTAACATTTTACTACGTTTCCATTTTTGTTTTGTTCTGATTTATACCGTTGGTCACCAGTAAATTTCCCAGGAGTGCAAGATTCAGCCTTACTCTATACTTTGGGGTCTCCGTTCCTGTTATTATTTGCTGACTAATTGGTATTATATGGCTAATTATCTTTCAAATATGAGGTCTCTTGAACAACTCGTCTTTTTAACAGTTCAATTCGCGTCCTCCTTTTTTTTACATGTAGGTCATCTGCCTAACTAAACGTGTGACGTAATATTCTGATACTTGAGAAGGGCACGTAGAGTTTAATTCCATCTATCATCTCTCGGAAAATTAATAATTTAATTATTTTTACTGTTGTTTTTCATATTTCACTGTTATCTTAAATAAAAGATTACAAACAATGTTAAATCGGTCATATGACACAGGGAAATTTACCTAAGTTAGATCATATTGCACTCAAAGTTTAATTAAATTAACATATTTCAAGTATACACACATGTAATAATCAGCTTCTATATTTTAAATGAGGCTTAGCATGGTTTGATAATTAAGGCGTTCGACTAGCAACCTGCGGGTCGCGGGTTCGAATCCCATCACCGAATATGCTCGCCCTTTCAGCCGTGGGGGCGATATAATGTGATGACCAGTCAAAAAGTAGCCCATGAGTTGGCGGTGGGTGGTGGTGACTATCTACCCTCCCTCGCTTTTGAATTAGGGTACACTATGACAGACAAAAAAAAAATTACAAACATTTTACATTATTAAACTTTTGGTGTTATTTTTAGGCACCCAAATATTATTATTATTTGTTTTATAAAAATAAAAAACACTAAAGAAAGTTTAAACGATATATAAATGTATTTTTTTCTATTCCAAACATTGTTTTATACCAAGACCAAGTAATAGGTAATGTCTAAAAATATAACGCCCCTCAGCGGCATATCTGCGGACTTATAACGCTAGAAACCGGGTTTCGATACCGTAGTGGGCAGAGCACAGATAGCACATTGTGTAGCTTTGTGCTTAACTTGAAACAAACAAACAATAAAATGTGACTTGTTTTTGTTACTAACTTGTAAACTTTCAAAACAATGTTCTATATTTTTACAAATGTTAAAAAAGTTATTGCTGACTATTCTTTGACCAGTCAACAGTAGTTTCCAAAGATTGGAAGGTTTAGTCATTCCTAATTGACCGATTCGTTCAGGTAAACTATACATGTATAGATTTTAAAGTCATTAAGTTCTCGTCTCTCCTTAATCATATCTAAAACGAGTTAAAAATTACAACTGAAATAATCAGAACACTGTTTTCTCCAAAAATGGCGTCTGTTTAATTCAAGAACAGTCGAAATCTGGATTTAATCTCACGTTCCTGGTTATTATTCGTAATTTTTTTTTTTACTTTGATTTTTATTTATTCATTTATGGTTGTGATTTACGCAATTCGTGGTAATTCGTTGTTCGTGAAAATTGTAGACTGAAAGTGAATTTTGAAATTTTCAGAAACGGGAGGCTCGGGTGAAGGGATTTCTAGTCGATACGGCCGTCAACACCAGGCACAGATTGCAGAATCTGAGAACAAGGAAAATGTCACGTGCGAGTCCAAACACAGAAAGTCTAGTTCTACGTCTGGAGACGACCACACTAGAAGTGATATTTCTTATTTACAATCAGAAGGCGAGCTTGCAGTATCGGAGAACACGAGTAAAACATCAAAAGAACATATTTCTCTACCGCTACCATCTAGTGAGAGGAATCCAAAACACGAAAATTATCAATTAATTCCTCTAGAGACGAATATTCCTTTAGCTAAAATGAGTATTTCTGATCAACCAGACTACTCTAGTAGTTACACAGTGTTTTTGGACAAACGAAGGCGTTGTTCGTTAGTGCATCAAGAGTTTTCGTTGGAACACAGCTTATATATGGCCAAAATAAACAGTTCTTCGGAATCCCGCCAACAGGTTTCAGAAAATAGCTCTTCTGTTAAGGGTGACGGTAATCGGACAGATATAGCTCCTGGTAAAAATGGGGGTCCGTTAACCAATAACAAAGGACGTAATAATGGTGATATTAGAAAAAAACAAAACCTTAATCAAGTTGATGATGCTTTGGATTTAATCGGAAATGATGAGAACGCTAATTTCGTTGAGCTGAACAAAGGTACTGGTGAAAATCAGTCAGTTTCAGTAACAATCACACTTAAAAACAACCAGTTGTTCTTAGAAGAAGGTTTGTGTGTTGCTGCTGGGGAGAATGAGGCTTATGTAGGTAATAAAGTCACCAATGATATCAGTAGGACTGAAGACACTATATCTTCTACCAATAAAGAGCACAGTTATTCAAAAGACGATAACATAAACTTTCTGGTAGATAGAAACGATTGGAAAGTGAGACTCAAACCATTAACCACACACAGGAAAGAAGTTTCAACTCTGGATCCAAGTATTAGGACAGAGAGGAATGTCCGATCAGATCTTAGTAAGCGTAATTCAGTTGTTGTACCAACCACAACAAATAACCAGCCGTCGATCTCATGTGAGGGAGGTAGAGAACAACTGGAGGACAAGATAGCTCAACATGCTGATATGGGTGATGCAACAACTGGCGTGATGTTGTCTGGTTTAGATCCTAAACACATTAAAGTTAGCAGTAACTATGAGATTCAGCTCACGAGACATTCTGATGGCGCGCGTTTTCCTTCTACGGGCAGATCTGAGAGTCATCGCCTAACTAGCGAAAACCAATCAATAAATCGTATTCCAAATTGTACTAAATTGCAGACCCGAGAAACAAATTCCATTTGTGAAAAACGGGAACCAAGTGAATTGAAGAATGAACGTTTTGGAAATAAAACCCAACTTTCATTACGAACTTGTAGAGAACAAGTATCTTGTAATAAAATCATGCCTTTAACGTCTTCGCAAAATAAAACTGCCAACCTTGATATTCGACACAATGTCCAAAATTTTCCCGTTAGTTCCCTCGAAACTAAAACTTCGCACTCTGGAGGTAATATATCTAAAGTTGGAGAGTTGTCTAAGAAGTTTTTAAAAGCGTCATCTACACCAAATGAACCATTGGCAACACCTTACTGCCCGAACAATAGAGTATTTGTGACGAGGAATATAATTGGTTTAGCCGAGAAATTCCAACAGGGACACAACAAATCAACAAGTTTGGACCAAAACCATAGACTAACGTTTCCGGACAATAAAAACCAAGAGACGAAAGAGAAACAAGAGTTTAGTTTTTTGATTGGGGGAAGAAGTACTTCCTCCCTTTACCATGGAAACAGCATCTCCCAGAAATTGAATAAAACAGAACTCGTCTTTAAACCAACCCCCAGGGTAAAAGAAACAAAGTGTTCGGATTCTTTCAAAGTAAAACTAACCAAGAATCGTGGAGGATACGTTGCGTCCTCTGGTTGTTCCTCGCGTGAAATCGGTCTACAAAAAGGGATAGAGACCCTTGACCCGTATAAAGCAGTGACCGATAACTTAGAAGACGTTAATAAGACAGCTCACGGACAGTGTAAGGGCAGTAACGTAAAGAAGGCCAAAGACACAGTTGTAGAGAAGTGTTTTCAGGGGCTAGGGGCGAGAAGAGAGAGCATGGAGCGACAAAAGAAACAAACCGAGTGCACGAAAGACTCTAATGAGAACCAGGAATGTAAGGTACGTAAAAAAAAAACAATTAAAAAATATATAAAGTATAAGTCATCACTTACGTTTCTAATTCTATTTCATTCCCCGTTATTGTATAGTACATTTAATCCAGGAAATGCACGTGTAAATGTTTAGTATATCCCTCCCTTTTTATGTAATACAACGTGGTAGCTTCGATACCAAAAGTGATGACGTGTGTTTGTGTGTTATGACTATGTTTAAGCTGTAAGAATGCACGTGCATGAAGGTTAGGGTGCTACTGAAACTAGACTGAAGTGTTGTGCACGATCAACCGTATTGTGGAGACTTTTATGGTTCGAGCCCCAGTGCTGCCAAACAAGTTTCGCACTTTCTGCTGTATCTTATAAGTGTGATAATCAGTCCTACCATTTGGCTGATTTCTGTCCCCATGGTCAGCAGTTCTTAATTAGGAGGGGGCTATGCTTGAACTCCTGGGTATCTGACCTGGCCGTTAGCCTCCATGTGTTACATAAGGTGCCGTTCAGGTTGAAAACGTCAAATACCTCTTCCGTACATGCACGCGCACAACAGACACATATATGTATTACCTCATTTGTGCTAATTAGTGTTACTAGTTTTTTGTTTTTTTTTTAGGATGTGATTAAGATTTAAAACATTAACCTGTTTTCTCAACGTTTTTTCTTGTAACATTTAGGACCCTAATTAAGATATATCGTCTTCATAACTACGGCTTAAAATATTATGTTCGACAGATACTTTAGCTCTGAATAAAGTCCCCGTTATTGTGTTAAATGGAACAGGTTATCATGACGACAGAAACGACTGGCATCTTACATCAAACAGCTAAACCAAATAAAGTACTGCTGTGAACCCTGTTAGGTGATATACTCATGTCAGACTGACCAGAGTACTGCTGTGAACCCTGTTAGGTGATATACTCATGTCAGACTGACCAGAGTACTGCTGTGAACCCT